GCGTTGTTGGAAATAACCAACAGTTTTATACATCTCTTGTATTTTTATACAACCTTTTGTATTAACCACAAGTAGTTACTAAAATTACTAACTTGTAGAATTAATCATCATCATGCGTTATAATAGCCATATTGCCAGATTCTTCCTAGTCAGAATGACGACGTGAGGAACGACAGGCTGAAACATGAATTCTTTCCACATTTAGTTGGATTTATAACAGAGTCCAGTTTATCATTTCCTTTACTAAGGATAATTACTTACTAATATGTTTATTTTCGTAGCACACTACTGCTTATTGGAACTCCCTTATTTAGTTGATATTAAACATTCCAGTGGAAATTATTTGAATGTAAAATAATTCCACTTTATATTCCTCATTTAGTTACGTAGCTTTAATAAACCGACTTACGGTATGAGGAGTCATATTATAACATGAAAGAATTAAACGTGACATAAATACTCGTCACAATCTCTTCTTTCGTAGTTAATTCCGATATATATAATATAAATCCATTTACGCTCGAGATGCCTTATCGAGAGCCGCGCATGCGCAATCGGGAAGAAGAAGAAGACGGCGAGAGCGTCGCTAGCCACCACGCGCGAGAGAGACGCCATTAACAACGTGCCTCTACGCGAGAGACGTCATTAACGGCGTACTACAGAACACATCAACACCTTACCTCTCCGACGCCATTACACGGAAGCGTGGGCAACTATCTTGCCAAGTTACTGTGTTGCAGAACTCCTAATTAACGACTCATAGTTACGTCAGGTTGCTCGTTCGCTGTGCCACGCAATAGTCAACAAAACAAAGTTAGTTGAACAGAATCTAGATTCTCTCTTAATGAGAAATAGTGATATTAACGATAGTCTAGACAACCTTTACATTTAATTTGTCTTTCAGCTTGACTGGGTAAAGGAGAAGAATTAATTTCATTCCATGTGCTTTTCCAACTAATTCAGTCGAACAGCTAAGCTGACCTGATTTTCTAGTAGTGTAGTATTAGATATACTAACATCTAGTTACATGAATGATTTCCTTCCAAATTGTACGGCTCTAATGACCTATTTTGTACGGATCTAATGACCTGGTTTGTACGGGTCTAATGACCTAGTTTACTCGGATTCAATGACCTCGTTTATACGGTTCTAATGACCTAGTTTGTACGGCACTAATGATCCAGTTTGCACGGCTCCAATGACTTAGTTTGTAAGGCTAATGACCTGGTTTGTACGGCTCTAATGACCTGGTTTGTTTGTAAGGCTCTGATGACCTGGTTTGTAAGGCTCTAATGACCTGGTTTGTTTGTAAGGCTCTAATGACCTGGTTTGTACGGCTCTAATGACCTGGTTTGTTTGTAAGGCTCTAATGACCTGGTTTGTTTGTAAGGCTCTAATGACCTGGTTTGTAAGGCTCTAATGACCTGGTTTGTACGGCTCTAATGACGTGGTTTGTACGGCACTAATGACCTCGCTTATACGGCTCTAATGATCTCGTTTGTACGGCACAAATTATCCAGTTTGTACGGCTCCAATGACCTAGTTTGTACGGCACTAATTATCCAGTTTGTACGGCTCCAATGACCTAGTTTGTACGGCACTAATTATCCAGTTTGTACGGCTCCAATGACCTAGTTTGTACGGCACAAATTATCCAGTTTGTACGGCACTAATTATCCAGTTTGTACGGCTCCAATGACCTAGTTTGTACGGCACTAATTATCCAGTTTGTACGGCTCCAATGACCTAGTTTGTACGGCACTAATTATCCAGTTTGTACGGCTCCAATGACCTAGTTTGTACGGCACTTAATTATCCAGTTTGTACGGCTCTAATGACCTAGTTTGTAAGGCTCTAATGACCTAGTTTGTAAGGCTCTAATGACCTCGTTTGTACGGCACTAATGACCTCGTTTGTAGGGCACTAATGACCTCGTTTGTACGGCTCTAATGACCTCGTTTGTACGGCACTAATGACCTCGTTTGTACGGCACTAATGACCTCGTTTGTACGGCACTAATGACCTCGTTGAATGACCTCACGGTGATGGAAAAAACCCTCACGGTTCCAGCACTAGACGTAACCCCTAAACTCTACCAACTATGCAACCAAATAAACCTCAAATCATCAGTCATAATTTGTTCCAGCGCTGCGTCATACAGTGCCCCAAATGCGGTTCCGGGAGGCGTCCTTGTTCAGTGGTAAATACTTCCTGAAATCTTGCATTCAACTCTGAGATAGCTGCCATTGACCGTGTGTGTTCTCACCTAATTGTGCCAGTAGTAGTTAAGCTTTGGTCCTGCCTCACAACCCGTCAATAAACTGCTGTACAGGTTCCTGAGCCTGTACACCATATTGGGCTCTATCATATCTACATTTGAAACTGTAATGAATCTGCCTCCACCACATCACTTCCTAGTGCATTCCATTTGTTTTACAACTCTGACACACTGGACAAATTCTTTTTAGTGTCTCTTAAGTACCCAAATGAGCCACAATTTCCATTTGTGTTCCCTTGTGCGAGGACCACCCGTACCAAATAGTCTGCCGTTATTATTCCAATCAATTAGTTGCCCTGGAAATTGTTTCCGGTTATATGTCTCCTCTAACTCCTCTCTCTTCCAGTGTCCAATTACATTTCATGTAATCTTTCCCCTTAACTCACGCCTCGCAGTTCTGGAACTAATCTGGTGGCAAACCTTCGAACCTTTTCTAAGTCTTATACTTGACTAGCTATGGCCTGCTCGCTGGAGTCGTATACTCCAGGATCGCCTGTCATATATGACGTGTGCGCACGCGTGTGTGTATATGTGTGTGTGCGTGTGTGTGTGTGGACGGGGGGGGGGGGGGTTGAGTATAAGTAAACTAAATTCGATGCAACAGAAAACGGGGAATTACGTATAACCTTTCGTGACGTAATGAATGACAGGTGACGGATCCCGCTGCTGTCTGCGTTACGTGACAAACGTCACGAAAACACTTGAAGACGGTAGAAGGAAATATTCAAGTGGTTATGCAGGGTCCAGCATAGCTCATTCAAATGTCATTTATTATCTTTCCCGAGGATAAGGGTCCTCGCTAGACTACATGACGGGGTTACAGTGTGTGTTAGTCATACAGGGGCATGTGATCAGTAGCCTGCACTTACACACTGTAGTTGCACTTGCACACTTTACCTGTATTCCCCTCTCCCCTCCCTCTATCCCTAGTCTTCCTCCCATCTTCGCCACCCCTCCCTAGCCTATTTTCACTCCCCTTCCCTCTAACCCCTCTCCTATAACATCACTATAATACTATAAGAACACTTCAGATATTGTCGTTTCATCAACACACAATACATAAAGTCTAAGGATAAATTATTAAATTTTGGGGGGTTTAAAGGGTAAGTATTGAGTAGACTTTAAAATTTTTAGATTTTTTTTTTTTTTGCAGGGATATAAATTTTAAGATGATCAGTAAGTAGTTTCCTATATTAAAAATAATTTGCAATAATAATTATAATTCAGTCGAATCATTTGGCATTGTAAGATTGACGTTGTTGTTGTTGTTTAAGATTCAGCTACTGGGAACCAAAAGTTCCAAGTAGCACGGGATATGGTGAGCCCGTAGTGAACTTGCCTTACACCGGAGCGGGGCTGTAACTTGCAAGATTGACGTTGGCATAGTGTCACTTGGCACCGTTTTCTTTTACGCCAATTCTGACCCGTCCATGTTGGGCACGTATGTAACAGTAATTACTGTTGAAAATTGGGTGAAGCTAGCCCCAAGCGTCTGGCCTCTAACCTCGAACACACGGTGAGACATTTCCATTTATATAATGTATATCAGTCGCCTCGTTCACTTTTTATACATTTATATTAATAAATTCCTGGATATATAAGGAAGAATTGTGATTAATTCATAAATGCATGCCATAAACAGACCGTGAAGATTAAAATAGTCAATAAAAATACAATATACTACAGCCAGCCCTCAAGGTCACCAGACGTCATGCTTAACAACAGTAGCAACAATTTCCGACATAATTCCTACTGTTCACTTGACGTCAGATCCATTAATGTCTCGCCGTGGTTATGTAACAGCGAGAAGTCTTACGGATATTTTTAACACGTCGCGCAAACACACGTATTAAGATGCGGTTATTTAATGTCTGGTTTCCTGGACATTTCCGCCTCTGAAGCGTAATAAAAAAAATAATAGTAAATCGGAGTTAAGTTCCTCTTAAACAGGTTCGAAGCCTTTACGATCGTCGGCATTTTTGCTGACTGCGTTCGTGACTTGCCAGACGGATTCGAGGATATGCTTTGTAGGCGCAATTAACGGCGAATATCTTTGTGTGTGCTTTGTCTTTTTCCCTGTCATAGCGGGTGGAAGTTTTTTTTTGTCTTCAGGTGGTGGCGATCGTAAGAGTCCGCAGCGTGGACTTCCTTCCCACCGACCTTGCGGCTACTTTGTCCACTCCGCTGACTGCCTCCCACTACAGTCGGAGCAAACTGAATCTCACGCGATTTGCACCGCTAATTTGCCACGATAATGAATCAGAGTTGTTCCGAGAACGATGACGTGCGTGTCGAGCTAAGTTCTTGTTACTCTTTTTGTTGTGTGTTTTGAATAAAGACAATATATAGCTGCGCTGCAGACTGGCATTCGGTTGGTAAGCAATTCATCACCTGGATGAGTGCATTAAACTGTAATGAGTCAGTGTTAACAGTCAGTGAGGGCGGTAAGTTGTCTTTTAACTGTCTCTCAATATGGATTATACGGGGAAATTCCTTGCATTAATTGGCTCTTAACGTCAATGTTGGACAAATTTATATAATCTTGTTTGTATAAACATCGTTACAGAGGTTTCCATTTTTAAATTTACCAGTGCACAATAATTTTCAAAATTTGTCCTAAGTTGACACACCGATTTGTTTGAGAAACTTCTTTTTGAGGACAGAATTAAACTTTTGTGCTAAATTAAAGCCATATATATGTTAAATAAATTATAATTCGTACTGGTTGTGGCTCGTACTGGCGGTGGCTCGTACTGGCGGTGGCTCGTACTGGCGGTGGCTCGTACTGGGTGTGGCTCGTACTGGTGGAGGTTCGTAATGTCGGTGGCTCGTACTGGGTGTGGCTCGTACTGGTGGAGGTTCGTAATGTCGGTGGCTCGTACTGGGTGTGGCTCGTACTGGTGGAGGTTCGTAATGTCGGTGGCTCGTACTGGGTGTGGCTCGTACTGGTGGAGGTTCGTAATGTCGGTGGCTCGTACTGGTGGAGGTTCGTAATGTCGGTGGCTCGTACTGGGTGTGGCTCGTACTGGTGGAGGTTCGTAATGTCGGTGGCTCGTACTGGGTGTGGCTCGTACTCTGTGGGCTCGTACTGGTGGTGGCTTGTACTGGCGGTGGCTCGTACTGGTAGTGTTGGGAACTATACAGTAGTCAGGAATGTATGGAGACACATCACAAATTTAGCCTGACTGCAGAAATACAGAAAATACACACCATCGCCCATGCAGGTGGCTGGATGGTTTTGGCATCCCCGGAGCGTCGAGGGGACTGTGGTTTTAAGGGACTGTAGTTCTAAGGGGATGTAGTACAAAGTGACTGTACTCGCCTAGTTGTGCTTTCAGGGGATGAACTTCGGCTTTTTTGTCTCGCCTCTCAACTGTCAGTTAACTGGTGCACAGATTCCTGAGAATACTGGGGCTCTGTCATTTGTCATATCTACATTTGAAACTGTGTATGGAGTCTACCTCCATCACATCACTGCCTAATTTACTCCATTTGTTAACTATTCCCAGAAAAAGTTCTTTCCCTGTGGCTCATTTGGGTAGTCGGTGTCCACCTGTGTCCCCATGTTCGCGTACCACACATGCTAAATAGTTTATCTACCCTGCCAATTCATCTGAGAATTTAATAGGTGGTGATCATGTCCCTCATAAATCTTTTGTCTTCCAGTGTCGTGAGTTTTAGTTCCAGTAGTTTTCCTCGTCGCTCATACCCCTCAACTCGGGGACTAGCCTGGTGGCATACCTCTGAACCTTTTATAACTTCGCTGTGTGTTTGACTAGATATGGACTCGATGCTGGAGCCACATACTCCAGCATTGATCTGATATGTTATAGAAGGTTCTGAATGATTCAGAACATAGCTTCCTTGATTCAGTTCTAAGGACCTGTGATTATTTTAGTCTGTGGTTCTAAGGGCCCGTGGTTCTAATGCGCTGTGGTTTAAAGGGCCTGCTGATTAAATTTTTATGTTTTGATCTGTTTGCACCAGCGGACCCTCAGACCTCGAGGACGACAGTGAGGGGCGTGGCTCTGATGGTTCTGGAGTTGTCAGGGATAAACGCAATTTTGTTTCGGCAAAAATTCTAAAATACTACAGTTTGTGAGACATGGGCGCTACGATGGGTTACATAAATATTGAATATAGTAAATTATATGTCAACACAGCTGGGTCAAAACTGAATGGTCCCGGATTCGTAACCCGGACAGGACGCAAATGTTGAGTGTGTTTCCTTTCACCTGTCAGTATATGGGGTACCCGCGGAGTTCCGCAACTGTTGTGGGTTACGTCCTGGTTAATGTTAGCCGATGGCCAGAGTGGGTATCTCTATGAACCTTACAGGCTTCCTCTCTGCGGTACTGAGAAAACGTAGTGAATCTACTTCAAGTCCTGAACTATACTCAAGACCAAAATATAATCACTAGATGATTAGTAAGCTATTATATAGTGGCCTTTATTGGGTACTAGGGAAGGGGGGTTACCCAGATACGCCAGGGCATCTTTCCCGCTCTCCCAGTCTTCCCCATCTCTCATCTGTTTCCCCATTCCCCCTCTCTTCTTATCTACTCAAAGTACCTTCCCCCACCACCACTAACCTTGGACAGACAGATAAACAGACATAATTACCAACTATACATAAGGATATATTTAGATGGTAATCGTACACAAGATTCAACAAAGCTAGTTTTCTGATTGTTATCTAGAGGTTATCTTGAGATGATTTCGGGGCTTTAGTGTCCCCGCGGCCCGGTCTTTGACCAGGCCTCCACCCCCAGGAAGCAGCTCGAGACAGCTGACTAACACCCAGGTACCTATTTATTGCTAGGTAACAGGGGGCATAGGGTGAAAGAAACTCTGCCCATTGTTTCTCGCCGGCGCCCGGGATCGAACCTGGGACCACAGGATCACAAGCCCAGTGTGCTGTCCGCTCGGCTCCCCTGTTGAAACCATGTATATCGTTGCGTTAGGATAAATTAACACATCCTAACCTAACATGAGTCTTTTTAATATCCATTGGATAAGTCTTGTGAACGATGTGATTTGAATCCGGGTGAATAACCCTCCTGCGATTAATTGGCCAAAAGCCCAACACCAAACCAATACTCGGCTTTAGTGTTATTTTCCTCCTTTAGTATTAGTATGTAGAAGCAAACGCCTAGTTTATGCCCCAGAGTGATATTTGGTGCCTGTGTTTACAAAGAGGCACCTCTCTTCATGTTTAACATCTCCCCGAGATAAACTTGAGTGTCTTTATCACCAGTTGTGATTATCTCGGCCATTGTTTAAGAATGACTCAATGTTCAGGACAAAAAATTATGAAGTGCTTTTCTGATTTTCTCTCGGGGCCAATATATCAGTACCGCGCAGGCATTCTGTACATGCACCTACTGCTCTGAAGAGCTTGCATGGCGCGCATATAGTCTAAACCCAAGGACAAGTTAATTTCCTAAATCATCGTCCGCACCAAGGATAAATAGGCAGCTAGCACTGATGTGACTTTAGAGCGTATGTAACTAGTAAGCGTTGCCGGGCAAGACGATATAATCATCTGGTGGGGCTTTTATCATCCTCACCCACCCACCTACTTGCTTGCCGTAAGAGGCGACCACAAACAGGCCCCCGCGCACACACCCTCTGCTCTCTAACCTTATCTGGGCACACGACCCTCTGATACCGCCTCGAGTGATTTTATTGAGCCTTTACGATAAGCTTCAGGGAGGTACTACCTCCTCCCCCTCCTCGCTCCTTGACGGTGCCTAGCTCCAAGTGGCTCTGCCTCTTCTGCCACTTTTTTTTTCCTATTTATAATATTTGTTTAAGGTGATCAGAAGCGCTAAGCCAGCACGTACATTTTTTTTTATCTCTAATGGTTATTTATCATTATTAATTATTATCATTTTCCGAACAGAAGATTTAATGTGTATATCGAAAATAAATGTAGGGAAATATTAAGTGTGAAGAAATTAAAAGGCGGAGAACATTGTGAAGATCTGACGGGTGGAGCTGATAAAAGAAAAGGCAAGTATGGGTGATTGGTTTTGCTGGTGTGGGGAATGTGCCACATTATGGCGCTTGCATCTATACACAGGCTCAGAGGAAAAGCTTCTGGCGGGGACGAGGTCTACAGAAATTATATTATATATATATATATATATATATATATATATATATATATATATATATATATATATATATATATATATATATATAATGTCGTACCTAGTAGCCAGAACGCACTTCTCAGCCTACTATGCAAGGCCCGATTTGCCTAATAAGCCAAGTTTTCATGAATTGTTTTTCGACAACCTAACCCAACTTTTTCGGCCACCTAACCTAACCTAACCTATAAAGATAGGTTAGGTTAGGTTAGGTTAGGTAGGGTTCATTAGATTCGGTCATATATCTACGTTAATTTTAACTCCAATAAAAAAAATTGACCTCATACATAATGAAATGGGTAGGTTTATCATTTCATAAGAAAAAAATTAGAGAAAATATATTAATTAATGAAAACTTGGCTTATTAGGCAAATCGGGCCTTGCATAGTAGGCTGAGAAGTGCGTTCTGGCTACTAGGTACGACATAAATATATATATATATATATATATATATATATATATATATATATATATATATATAATATAGTATATTTTGGTAGCAGTCTCTTTTAAACATATTTCGTTGAAAACGACAAAGTTTTAGAGTTATGATTCTGGCACGAATCTTCTCGATATTCCTTATGTTTTTCTTCACTGGAGCAGGAAGATTAAAAATTAATTCTCCAAAGTTCATTTTTACTTATTATTTGGGTATGACGCCTAGTGATGCGTTTCGTAAGGTCTCGCCTCACATTCTCAAAGACAAATTCTTCTGTTGTTGTTTGTTGTTTTATAATTAGCTACTCAGAACGAAATGTCCATGTAGCACTTCGGGCTTTGGTGAGCCCGTAATTGAGTTTGGTTATTCGTTATAACCTTATTACTCTGATATTTGGGTCAGAGTATTAAATGGAGGTGGGGTTTCCTCCTTTTTCCCCTGTTTTTTATTTTTGCTTCTGTTTTAGTCTTGTTTTGATAACATTATCTTGGCGGAAGTAGGTGCAGAATGCTCACTAGTGAGTCCCATTCCTCAACGGCTTTTCTAATCATTGTAATCGCGGTGGAATGTGCATCTAATGCAGCTGCTGTCGTTGGATTAATGTTGAGTTTGATGGGCAGGGCTCCAGTAGCTTCACATTCCAGTAAGTAGTGCAATAGTGGCGCCTCTGCTTCTGTTCCACAGGTATGACACTCTTTAACTATTGGGTTCATTACCTCCTAGCAGCACTTGTAACCAAGTCTGAGTCTGTGTATGGCTACTGCAATGTCTCTGGATATCTTTTTGCCAGTCTTGAAAGACCAGTACCCAGTGGCTTGTTCGTACCATATCGCAGTGGATCTTCCTTCCGCTACTTTGGCTCTGTGGCGATTTTTGATAGTTGGGAGTATTTTCTTCTTGATTTGCTCCTTAATCTGTGAAAAACTTGGAGGTATTTGAACCTGTACAACAGGTAGAGCAGTGGCAGTTTTTGCTAGCGAGTTTGCCTTTTCATTATCATCTATGCCTTTCATTATCATCTATGCCAATGTGACTTAGTATCCAATTTAGGGTGATTGAGTCCTAGATTATGAGCTTCTTTTCCTATGTTGGATTTCTGTGAGGAGTTGTATATTACCTCTGTGCTGACTGGATAACAATGCCTGGAGCGAAGATTTAGTCAGTATGAATGATGACATGTAAATTTTTCTCAATTGAATAGTTATGGCCTCCTTTATGGCATATAATTCTGTTTGCAATGTTGAGCACCCACTATTCATGTTCCAGTAAGCTTCATGGTTGGTAGTGTAAACTGCTGCCCCAGCAGAACCTCTTTCTTGATCAACTGATCCGTCTGTGAGGATGCGAGTCGTTGTAGGTCTTGATGGTTTCCATTTGTTGTTCTATGACTGCTTTGAGCCTCTGCGAGTCACATGCTGACTTTTTAACTGGTATTCCTTCAGTGAATTCTTGTGTGTTAGCACCTGATTATATCCTCTAATGGTGAGGTGGAAGGTGACATGGATGAATGACATAATGGGGTAGTAGATTAAGAGTGTGACATGTTAGCAGCTTATGTTTATCTGGTTGCTTCCGTTCCTGTTGCAGAGTCATTCGGTCTTGCTTCTGCATTGGCTCGGGGTCTTGAAGTGGGTAGAGTGTAACTGTGTATTAGCTGGTTATTGATTGCTGGTCTAGATTTCTTGATATGCAGCACTTCACTGATGTGTAATCTTCTTGTCATTGTATCTATCAATTATTTCGGTGTTGCTCGTCAAAATATCCCTGGTGATCGTCTCGTGTGTGGCGATTATATGTTCCTTGATGAAACCCTGTTGTTTGTGCATTGTTAAACGCGTAGAGAGAGACGTTGCTGTCTTGCCTATATACTGAGTTTGTTGGGGCTGATAATGCCCAAGTGGGCACGTGAAGGCATAAACAACGTTGGTCTTTTCAAGGCATTTTTCTTGGTGCCGGGAGAATTTGTCATTAACAGGTTGGCTGTTTTCCTACTCTTATAATATAGTGTTTAGTTATGTCAACCAAAAGATAAAACTAAGAAGTTGAGAAATATAAATTATATATAATAAATTTCTGTAGACTTCGTCCCCACCAGCCGCTTTTCCTCTTTCAGTGTGTGTACAGATATAATCATCTCTAGTCTATCGAAGGTTGGATGGAGCCCAGATGCTTGGGGCTAGCCTCGCCCAACTTTTGCAGGATGAATGATCTGGGGTACGAGATGAACATAGACTGGCCAGGATTGTTCCCATTCGTTTCCCTTAATAAAAATGTCAGGGGGGGGGGGGGGGGTCAGGTCTAATAGTGAACCTATTTTGCCTGGGGGTCAGGTCTAATAGTGAACCTATTACGCTTTGTGTAATAGTGGCTCTAGGCATTGTATGTACTAAATCTATCTAGTACATACTAGTGTTACCCAATCTTTATGTACTTAATCCAAACGACTTTATCATTGTGTTCATTGCTGTCTTCTTTAAAGTGAAGACCATATGCTGTATTGTGCCTACTAATTTTTGTTAAACTACCATTCAACCTGTCATTGCAATCAATCTGAGCTACCTATGTGCATTAATATACAGTACCTACAATTTTCTCTCATCTTTTATTCTTTTTCTTGCTATGTAACCGTTATCATTTTTATAAATTTTGCAAGTATTTACCTACTTAAAAAATTTTGTAGATTAAGGACTTGCCCGAAATGCTGCGTGTACTAGTGGCTTTACAAGAATGTAATTACTATGCAATGTATCCTCACAATCCCAATGTACCTTCTTGTATATATATAAATAAATGAATAAATAAATCTATAAATCCATCAACTTTTGTATCTCACCTTGTATGTATGCACTTTACCTGAATAAATATTTGTGTTCGTTGTACATAAGCTTTCAGGGGTTATATGCAAAGAAAATACTTTGATCACCATTCTTGTAGATTTCCTACCAAAAGTTGTGCATCATCTGCAGATTTTATATACTCTACTATCACATATTTTATACCCATATCTAGTAACTTTTCTTAACTTCTAGAAGCCAAAGACAACTGTCTGGGAGATATCTGGAAAAGCGTCATAGGATCACCGTTAAATGAATAATAATAATGATTGTGTCAGGGGATTGGCAGCCAGTACTATGTACATACATGTTAGATTTGTATTGAGGCCCCCCCCCCCCCTTTCCCTCCCCAAGGGTCGAATTACTCTCTTCCCAGGATGCAACCCCACAAGAAGTCGACTAACCCCCCCCCCATGTACCTATTTGCTGCTAGGTCGACAGAAGCATTCGGTGATAGGAAACGCACTCAACCATACATGTCCTGCCCAGGATTCTAGACTGTGGGCCCACAATGAACCTGACTATACTACTGTATGTATATGTAGGAAAACGTAGGAATCATTAAATCAACAATGTTAACCCATCGTAGAAACGATATTTAACCAACATTAGGACTATTAAATCAACATTAAATAAATGTAGGATTGATGTTGTCAACACCAATTCAATGTTGCATCAACATCCCTTGCCCAGACCTGGCGGGAGTGCATTCACAAGCAGGCAATCCATGCAGTGGGCAGGGTTTTAAAATAAAGGGGGGCTAAAAATTAAAATTTAATAAAAAAGTTAAAGTTTATTACATATGGATACATGACAATGATAAAATGAGTCTACTACTACTAGTTAATGATAAAACTTTAAATTAACTAGGTTTCATTTATTAGCACAACAAACCCAATACCCTAGTTACTGTAAAATTCTAATACAGCAATTATGACTTCCACAAAGAATCTAATCCATACAGAACAAGTATACATGACTATAGTACACTTAATATGGTACATAATGGCACTCACCCCTTGTAATGGAAGCTCTTTGATGAGAAAGGACAACACTCAAAACACTAATATACATATGAATGTCCTCCCTTCATGAATTAAACTATAGATTCATCACAGGTTTAATATACAAAGCAGACTACGGTTTACTTAAAACAATCCTGATGCACTTTGATATATTATAATTACTGGCAAAGGGACATGGCAAACCCACAGTTCACCATATATTTATTACATCCCTTGCAATATATTTGGTAGAGGAAAGACTGGACCCATCTTCCTCTATCCAAGTGAATGCCAAAAGCCTCCCCACCCCATAAAAGTGAGAGAGTGGTGACTATTACCATTATTACTAATATAGCCATACAGTATTTTTTTTATTTATATAAAAACATTTACTCATGCTTTCAAACTCTCTTACTGAAACTAGTTAAAATGAAATTTTTGTATGGTCAAGACTTTTTGGCAATTTATATTTATGTACAGGTAAACAATTTAGTGTTCTAGCTGATGATCACTGATGATCTGCCACAGTAAAAATTTGTAAGAATTTTTCTTTAAATTTTCTAAATTTTTATAGATCTCCCAACCTTGGTTACAACCCTTTTTTCTGCCTTACACTGCATGAAACCTTTGTTTTTTCCATGGATCACTTTTTGACAATTGCTTTTAACTGCATGACGGGCAAATTAACAATTTAAAATCATTTTGTATGCACCACCTTCCTTTAATTACACAAGGCATATAATAGTTAAGAAATGAGACATTTTTCTTTGACAATATCTAAAATGACTTGAGGCTTAAATTTTTATCTGGATATCCTCATAAAATTCACTAGTTTCAGAGCATGATGTATGGTTATTTTTGTTTTTTTACATTATATATAAATATATACTAGTGCTACATACAAATTTAAAGCAACTTGGTAACCAAGACTTAACGTGAAGCTTTGTCATCAAAGGATTGGCCAATTATTTTCTTTCGTTGCTTTTTTATTTGTTCTTTAAGTGTATTTGTTCCTCGATTCCCTCTACTGTCAGCTTCCTCCTCTGAATCTGCAAATACAAAAATGTACAACTTCTTTAATATAACTAGATGTGATAACCTATCACCGTCATTCGAAGAGGATGTTCTAGATGATTCCATTACCAACAGTGGCTGTTTGTTGAGCTATCTGTTCTAAACCAGTTCTCATAATATAAATAAAATGAAATTAACAATATAAATCTAAACCCAATTCCCCCTTTTTCCTAGGGAAATTGAAAAAATCAGTTGAATATCAATTATTATGCACTATTACATCCATTAAAACAATTGCTTTTAAGAAATATTCATACATTTTATCTGATAAAAAAATCGAGGACCCTGTCTAGAGTCCAAGATAGCTCAGGAATTGCACGAGCAGGTTAAGAGGTGAAAGCACACCCGAGACAATTTGCAGACGGGAGGGACAGAAGAATCTACGTTAAATGCCCGCAACAGCTGCTCCACCAGCGCCAAACGAGACAACAGAATGAGGTACGATGTAGCAATAAAAAAAACCATGAAAAAAAGACTACCACACAAACAGACTGAAGAAGGATGGCAGAAAGAGACAAAAAAACGAATGCACCCCCCATCTTGCCCAGTTCAGCCAAAATGCATCCACTGAGTGTCTTTACAATCAGGCAATGGTGTCACGTAAGGAGGAGGATGTCATCCACGCTGACGTGAAGAGACCCACCGTGGGTCAACCAAATATCTTGCAGAACCACTGTAAGGACAAGTAGTCAATGGTCTGCTCTGTGGCTGGGTTACAACAATGACAGGAAATAACTTAGTGAAAATACAGAAAGCCACAGTCAAGTTGATGGGCAGAACTTGGAGTGCACCATACAGATCTCAACTACAGAACTTAAGTGTGAGCTGACCGAGGACCAACCTCTGGGGTGCCTGACAATAGCATTCGGTACTAATGGGTTCTAGCTAGTTTTGAGTGAATTAATTTGTTTAGATTTAAACATTTGGCCGTTTCAAGGCTTTGAGTTTTGTGAACCCAGCAGCTGTCTATAAAGCTTCACTAACTTTCTGCCATTTCAACAGGAAATCATCTAAAATGTCATTTGCTCTCAGCACCTCAGAGGGGGAGGCCAGGTTCTGGTCTCCAGTAGACCAAACAGAACTCTTGCTGTACGTGACTTTTAGCATGGAGCAATCTCGGTGAGACAGTTATATAGCAACTGCAAAATTCCTGGAAAGCTACCATTGATGGCTAAGAGTCCAAATGAGGCAGTTGTCGAGGAAGACACCCGAACATAACTGAGCTGAAGTTAAGTGTGTTATCCTGGTTGACTCTTCTGGGAGAAAGGTTCAACCCAGAAAGAAAAACCTTGAGATGGTACTAGTTTGACCAAGCATGTGGTACAGTAGTAGATACCACTACTTAGGTCACCATGGGAAATGAAGGACAATGGATCCGAGCAACACCTTGACAAATTAATGATCCTGATTCCTTCTCTTAGGTAATCAAGATGTGGTTTTAATATAATAAAAAAAAAAAGTGACAACTGATAATCCTCCTTTTATGTACAATAAATTATCAGTTGTAATATGGTGCATGAATCTGAACTACACCAATTCCAGCTGCCGTGGCACACACAAATTGAGGGCCAGTGATTCGAGATGGATTCTGTTGCAAGGTAAATTACATATTTCAGGTACTCTACTATTAGAATGTGCAACTTCTTGCATGCATTTCAACAAAAACCATTTATTAAATTCTACTTGCCTGAATCTGTCTGATAATCGGACTTATCATACACTTCCAAAAATTCAAAGCTCTTCTCTATCTTCTCCACTTTAGATTTGTTATCATACTGCTGCTGCTGTCGTGTTTGCTGTGCTTCCTGCTGTGCTTCCTGCTGTGTCTCCTGGTCCTCCTTCACAATAGCTTTACCCTCTATATCGACTTTATTCCTTTGCCTTGCCAAGATTTGTCGTAGCTCAGAGGACCTTGCTGTTTTATACTGTGGGAAAATTACAGGTAAATATGCAGTCACTGAAAAAATATTTACCTAGTTTTATTAAAATAAATGTATTAAACTTTTAATGAAGAATTATTTAATCAGACTTTGTGCCACTTGTGAGTTGGAAGCTATAATATCACCAAGTATACACATGTTATAAGATCATATCATACAATTCAAAATCAAATTGGCTAATAAACATCTCAAATTTTTCTCCGAGAAAAGTGGTATAATGGACAAGTCCTGCCCATGCAAAAATAGTGTACCTAATTTACCTTCTATCAAGAAACCAGGGGCAGCAATATGATGAACTAGCAGACATTGATGAAAATGGGTTTTGAAAGGGAGGTACTGAATATGCTGAAGCTGTATCCAGGATTTATGCTCAAAGATCACAAAGGGGGTCCACCCATAATGATAAAGTTTAATTGGTAAAAACTTGACAAAGGATAGCTAATAAATGGGACCCTGAGTACAGAAATTTAACATAAAAAGTTCTGGATATTGAAGAGTAGATACAGTATACTGTATTTTCTATTCGCCCATGTACATTTTTCCCACTCCAATTTCTATCACTGCATGCAGAGGACTAAGTCCATCCATATACTTGGCAGTTAGCTCAGAAAATATAACTTGAGTGACTGGCACATCCAATGCAGAGGTAGAGGGGTGGCATTCTCCCCTTATCAACAAACCAGAGTGCCAAACTGTCACTTGTGTGTTAAAGTCCCTCACTACAGACACCACTTCCAAATTTTTACCAAACCCAACTTTTCATCAGGCATTCAAATTTGCAATGTCGAATGCTACAATAATCATTACACAAGAAAATCTTACCCCTGCGACATTGCGCTGGACGGTAATCTGAGATGCCAAACGTGCACCTTCTGATGGCCCACAAAATTCTAACAGTTTTGATTTATCCAGAGCAAATAATTTTTCACCGTCAACACCCTCAAACTGTTTCATGATTCTGAAAAACAAAGATTTTCATTTAGTTAAATATTACTCCCCCAAAAAAATGCTTTATGGATAGACTACACCATCCCTTTTACCAATAAAAATGCAAACTTTTACAATACAGTATTATATATTTGAGATGGCATTAATGATTTAAACACAATGACATGAATACATGTACAGTAGTTGCTAGACTACACTAACCAATAATTAAATTAAAATCCATTTTATGACCATAAAGTTTGAAAATGTCATGTTGATACAATGATGCCTCAAGATACAGTAAAGCTGAAAAGAAAATGAAACATGGCAAAATCATAATGTACAGTATCCATACTGAGGATACCTAATTTACCTGAAAGACACTAACACTAGTGCCTTCAATAATGACAGGAAGCTGGTGGCTTGTCAAAATTAGTTTTTCCAAAACTGGCCCACTCAACATCTAATGAATGTCTAAGAGTTGAGATTTAAGTCTTTTCTTAACTACATACTCAGACCTTGATAAAGCACTCGGGAGTGCCAAAAGACTAATTTTTTTACATACATTTAACAAACAAATGTGTGGGTTTTTAATCTATACTGTACTGTATTAGGTACTGTATTAAATTTTATCATTAACCCTGTAATATGCATATTTATATTATCCTTATGTTTATATTTCAAATAAAGTAATTTTCCTGTTCCTTTAAATATAATCTCCATATAAAAATTAAATGCACAAATTACCTTTTAGAGAATCCCTTTATCTTCAGCCATGACTGAACTTCTTCGGGTGAAGATTGCTGACTGATGTAAACATCTGGCGTTTTCACTATATCTAAATGAGGTCTCTGACGACGGAATGATTCCAGCACCAACTTTAATTCTGCATTCATTAAATCTGCTGATGATTTAGCTGGAGATTAAATAAAAATCTATGTTACAATTTGATTTCAAATAGGATTATGTTTCTTGCTGCTACAGTAATCAGGTAACTATTAAAAACACCTAAAGACTGTACTGTATATTCATATCACAATTCTATTAACCCATAAAATGTGGTATATTTACTTCATGAAAGCTTTCTGCACAACTGACAGAAGTCCAATATGTGCAAACTTGTTTTGAAGGGGTAAAGGGGAGACTACGGGGATGTAGCATACTTTCTGCTGTGTGAAGCAATTTTTTATTTTTTCCTCCAGGCCAAACTACCAGCAAATCACACATTGTACAGACTAAAACCTGCCCTCTGTCAATTACTCTGGGCAAAATTTACTATTGTTTAGAAGCATAGGTGGACTGTGCATTACAGCACATTACTGCATTGTGCAGAAGACTACAGTATTCATATGTATTGCATCTGGTGGCATGCAATACACATGAATAAAAACAACTTGGTGAATGCAAGCGTGATGAAAAAGTGATCAACAATTTTCCATATCAGTGTTGTGTAGTTGTGAAGATGACAGTGGTTAGTAATTTGCTAATAGTTTACAAATACAGTATGTTGAATAGAAATTCACATCTACATAATTATTAAAAAAAAAATGGTATTCTTTCAGTATGCTTACAGAATGAACAGCTTAAATATTAGAATCTTCATAAAATACTAAAACAACAATTTAGAAACTTAATGTTAGTTAATCCTACTGCAATTCTGGTTTAAACTATTGCATTATGATGATTTTTCCATGCCATTCTGAAGTTAAAATTATATAAGAGATGGCTTTATTGTGACATTAAGATGAAACAAGAAATTTATTTTACTATTTATACTTCGTGAATTATTTAGAGGCACAAAATGCAATTTTTAATTAAATTCTTGTAAAAAAATAATGACCACTGACAAAATGCACTACAAATGTTTGATACTACATAATATTAGATTTCACCCATTAGATCACATTTCTACCACTGAATTATAGGCTGTCCTCACTATCCTCAACTTTGCTATACGCTATATAGTTCACTACATAGCGAACTACATAACGTACGACAAATATTTCTTCCCTGTTCGTTCCACCATGCCAATTTATTTATCAATTACAATATTTAAATTGCAGCTACAGTATATGGTTTAGTTTCCAATTATCAGGAACAGTAAGCCTGTTTGGGTTATTATGACCAACGACTACATCCAGAAGGTCTCTTTCTCGTATCAGGAATGCTTTAAGGCCTCGGGGCTAACAACACTGCAAACCAGGCATGACAGGGCAGATCTCATTGAAAATTAAAATACTGAACAAGTTAAAGGTTTTTTTCTTCAGGTGTAACAAACAAGGAGCAACGGTTTCAAGCTCAGCAAACCACAATGACTGAACACACTGAACTCGGCAAACCACTGAACACAGGAGATGCTTTTTCACCCACAGGGTTAACCCATGGAACTGCCTATCCGCCAAAGCCGTAACTGCTAAAATTTTGTTGAGTTTTAAAATTTATCTAGAAAAGATCAAGGCAAATGGAGAGACCTTCGACAAGGCACTGGCTTCCTGTCCTTGTCGAGGCCACTAGAGGTTAGTGGCCCTCAGGTAAATCAGAATGGAGCCCACAACAGTCACATAACTCCCAGGTACATATTTACTACTAGGTGAACTGAGGCACCAGGTGAAAGGAAACGTTTCCAAGCATCTCTGTCCTACTGTGGGAATCAATCCCAGAATCTTTCAGGTATAATTACTTAAGTGTAGTTTCCTGTGTAGTTACAGGACAAGAGCTATGTTCATGGTGTTCCATCTTCCCAGTACTGTCATGACACTTTGAATCTACTGACTGTTTTGACCGCCGCCACCACCACCTAACTTGTTATGACCCTCTACCACACTGTTTGCAGAAGTGAACTTTATTTTATTTTTGGCAGCTTTTTTTTTTTTTTTTTTTTTTTTTTTTTTTTTTTTTTTTTTTTTTTTTTAGTTTGAACCTATGTCCTTTTGTTCTTTAAATTATAGTTTTCAAACATTTGTCAATTTCTGTTACTATTCTGTATGTAGTGCTCATATCACCTACACTGACCAGATTTTGGTGAATAAATGGAAATCTAATAAATTCAAATATTTGATATGTTTATATAGAGAAGTTGAATGGCGAGACAAGAGAAGGAAGTGTAATTATCAAATGCTAGGATGGCTATATAGCAATGTTACACAATATTCAAGATCTCCTGGGTGTCATTTAGAAACAGAAGGAGATAGAGTATCAGATTACAGTACTAAGAACTGTGCCTCTCAGGAACTGCCAGACATCCTCGCTCAGAGGGTTGACAAATTAATCATTAACAATTATTGAAGCCTTATTGTAAGTTTTTGTAGGAAATTGCTGAAAATATTTAAAAATTACACATATAATTTCACCATATTTTATATATTTTATAATGCTATCAAGAACATAGCATCCCCAGGGACAAATTATGGCAATGAACTAGCAGTACTTTCATCTGAACTGAAATATGACTAATATTAACTCATCCTGGGAGAAAAAAATGCCAATATTGAAATTTGTTAGTTCTAATGACCACAAAGTACTGTGGTCATTAAAACACACTAATGCAATTCAAATAAAAAAAGTGCAACACAAATTATTTAGGATAAATGCTATTTTGGGAATGAAACAATAGTTACATTTATGGTATTTTAAAGTCTACTTTTCATACCATTAAAAAATAATCTAAAATGGAGCTAAAAGCTACATCAATATAACTTATGAACAATTACAGCAGGAAAATCTAATTAATAACATAATGAGCATCCCTTATTTAAACTAATTGTACGCACAAGGTGACCCTAACTGGCAATAAATGTGCTACTAGAGAATTATTGGGTATTACTGCTTCAGTATTCCTGCCTTTGATACCCAATACATGTATTATTATTACACTGATAAGGAGAATTATTCTTCTGAACAGTTTCTTTGGCTACATGCACTGCACCATTACAGTACTGTACTCTGAACCACTATAAATGCTACATTTTCTTCATTGTCCTCCTTAGCTTAGTCATGGCCTTTGAGATGTATATTATTATTATACATATATATAAACTTACATATACATACATATAAATAAATAAATTGGCTGTCCCAAAAATAAACGTGATGCTCACTATGAACTAAAAGGAAGCACTTACTGGTACCATACATTTGATCAGCATTTTTGGGGCGAGGCTTACTGGGTACCCGTGATACAGTTTCATCAGGTGCAAAGCCGGGAGGAGGTGGGGGAGGGGGAACTGGGATAATGGTGGACTTGTGGGGGCTTGACTTCTTACGTGCTGATGGGTCATCTTCATCACTTGAGTCCACATTTGGGTAGTCTGTCACAAATGAAAGATGAACTATTGTAATTTATTCTTATATTTTTAATTTATCTTTTTAGGGATTTAGAGAACTAAATATAATTCAAATTTAAATGTTAATAAACAAAAAATATTCACACATTAAAAACAGAAGACGTAAAGAAAAAAAAGAGCAACAAAAAACACAGGTCAAGACTGGAAGGGAACAAATGTTCAGGCAACACAAGCAAAGTTGTGACAATGAAGCATGAAAACTTAACTTAAAGTTGTGAACCCAAATACATTTTTTATAAGAGTTGTTTTACATGTTCAGTGATTTCCTTTGCAGCAAGAATGCTTACACAAGTTGCTCAATGTACAAGTTAGTGCCAAATATCAAGCATGCATTGGAGGCTAATAATTTATGACAACTTTAAGTTCAAACTTCCTCTGGAAATAAAGTATGTAATTGGATTCATATACTGTAGTACTGTAGTCATTATATGAAATGCAACACACTACTCACCTGGTGTGGGGTTCATGAGGGCCTCCTCAATCGATTCGTATTCAAAAACTGCTGGAGCTTTGTGGTGTTGGAAGGTGTTACGAGATCCTAGTTCCACAATTTTAACTATCTTCATTTAACTAATCATTTTCATTTAGTTACTATTTTAGTAACTTATTAACTAGTTATAAAAAGCCTCTAAGAAACCTAAGTCATTCTCAACATTTATAATTACCTGTACTCAAATTTCAGCACAACTATTCTCATAAAGATGGCAAACAAAACATTGTAGAGAAAAATCTTAAACGATCACTCCAATTTTATTTAGTAGTGAAATGGGAAATAAACTACACAGAATTGTGTAATTGCCTGGTAATTTAAAATATAATTCAATTTATTTGAGACTTTAAAGTTATCAGTTACACTTTGCAGTAACTACATTGACTATTATATATTTTTTCCCTTTAGATAATTTTTACACATGTACAATTGAATTATATTTTAGATAGCTCCTGGTTAGTTACTTCCATCTTAAAAGGTAAGCCTTTTAAAGTGAGATTACATTAACCAGATTTAAGTTTTTTGTCTTATGACTGTATCTGGAAATAATTTTTCTCCAGAAAACAGTAATATCAAATTTCCTGCCCATCCTCCTGTTTAGGTAGTACTTATAGTAAAGACGAGGACCATCGTACACGTATTGACGTACAAGGCAATTAGTAAAAATTGGTACTATTGAATTTGGACAAATTGGAAAAGTTTTTGCATTTGTTGCAAAGAAAATCTAAACTAACCATCTTAGGCCTAATAAATGCTATCCGAGGCTTAATCTAGTACAGTACATATATGTGCTATATTAGGCCTATTTTGTTTGGGGGGGGGGGCTATAAAGTGCATAGTATCAGTCTATCTAATTTCCTTTTACATCAATTCATGTACAGTGGTCCACAGAGTTACAAAACGTTCTATCTAAACAAAAAGATGTGTTGAAAATTTCAGTACTATGCTGTAAGTATTTTCATTCTATATATAATACTTTAATCTCATACACAATCAATAAAAACATTATTTCCAAGGTTGCTTGCAAGTCTAATTGTAATGCAGCTATGCAGGCGATGAATCACAATAACATGGCTGAAGTATGTTGACCAATCCACACACTAGAAAATGAAGGGACGACGACGTTTCGGTCCGTCCTGGACCATTCTTAAGTCTATTGCAATCGACTTGAGAATGGTACAGGACGGACCGAAACGTCTTCATCCCTTCATTTTCTAGTGTGTGGATTGGTCAACGTAATGCAGCTATCATTTCCAACGTTGATTGCAAGGTTCAACTGTAATCAATTATATCCAAAAGAAAAAACATTCGCTTCATTAAATATTTCTTATCGTAATGCTGAAACTACAACCAATTTAAATATTTTTTGGTTGTGAAAATGAAATTAGCTGTAATTAAGTTACACATACAAGAAAAAATGCTTCAAATCTCGCACCAAATACAGCAAACTGTGTCTAATTCTTGAATGCTATTAAAAATGTTATAGAAAAATACAAATTTTTTCCCCAATGCAAGTTTAAATGAAAAAAAATATAAAATTATTGTATATCCATATACAATATAGTATTTCATTAGATATACGAAATTTAATTTGCAGTAATTAAATCTTAATACTGACATGCAGTACCAGTTCCTTGTACAATACATTGCTGGAATTTAAATTACAATCTTTCAGGATTTAAGGGAGAGCAGAGCTTAAATATGGCAGAAATAAATCTTTTTGCGTAAATATTTTGTCCACAATGATGCCACATGCTACAAGTCTTTAAATTAATAATTTGTATAACAAGATATATTTAAAACTGGCCAATATTTTGATTGCTAAATTGTCTTTAAACATTTATATATTAATTTATTTCTTGTGTAGTATTCAGCATTACCCCTGAAGTGTAAATCTTAAATCACTTATTACACCCAGAATACTATGTATAAATAGTGAATATTTTATAAATACTGTATATAAAAATCTTTATTATATGGATTTATGAGAAGAGTTCAATTCTCAAGATGCTTCTACCCTTTATAAAAAAAAACAAAAAAACTCGACATGAGCGACATTGATCTTGGCAGAACCTCAGATGCTGTAGGCAAAGTGAAAGGAAGGGCCTCAAGCCATCTTGCCCTGGCACAGAGGAGGAGGATGCAAATGTGGCTCTAAAAGAGCTGCCACCTGGACTTCATAAAAGGTGCCATAAATGTGACTCAAAATCTCTAGACATGAAAATCAGTGGACAGACTAGCCGTTCACTTAAGTCCATCTGGGAGAGGCAGAGTCCCATGAAGACTACAAGAAAAATGAGCAAGAAGGGCCAGGAATTGGAGAACCTGCCACAGAGGAGATAGCAGAATGCACTCTGCAAAGGCAGCAAAACAGACTAACACGAGGAGGAGGGAGGAGAGGAGAGGAGGAGGAGCTGTATCAGAATAGGTAATCAAATTCAACCAATTCCAGTCCAAGCAAAAGTTGTCCACTTTAAGAGCCTAGTGATTAGGAAAGGGAGTAATAGACAGCAGATTGCTCCATGCCAAAGCAGAGATATCCATCTGAAGATAGTCAAAAGTCTCAAATTATACTGTTAAAATCAGACAGAAGTGGGAGTGGGAGAGAGAGAAGACCTGTGATAACATTTGGTCAAACTCCCTCTAGGTGGACTGGACCACACTGAGGACTCTACCCTAAAAAGTAAAAACCAAGGCTATCCTGAGAATCCACCTCTACAGTGAGGCAGTGGACCACTATCAAACAATCCAAGTGAGGCCAGATGACAAAGCTTTACCCAAACTGCAAAAATTCACTGATGATATGCACCAACTGCATGCAAGAAATAGCAACCCTTAAATTACCATGGTATTGTTCCTGCCTTCAGTTCCACCAGAAGAAGACTGGGGAAAACTTGAATACCTTATTACACAAGGTATTCCACAACAAGGCTCTTAACAAAAAGACTACTAAATCAAACCATCTAAGCTTTGCCAGTAGGAACTTCATTTATTATAATACTAACACTTGCCTGTATATATATATACATATAAAAAATAACAGTATGCCCTCGTGTAGCACAAAAGATGTCTGCCAGAAAAGTCTCATGCTTCTCAAATATAGGGTCCCAGTAGTACACGCACCCCCCTTTAATCGGGGGACTGCCACACACACACTTATACCAGTATTTTAGTATATTTTCAGCTTGACTTCCCTCTTAATACAACTCTATCCATTTACTGTATGATGAACAACTATATAAAACATAGGACAACCTTGGTTTTAGTACTGTTCATTTACAATATACAAATTTGAACTATTTTCCACCTCACTTTATATTACCTTTTTATTTTTAAATAGACTAAACAAATTCATGTATTTCCAGTTTCTCTACATTCAAACAATACACTAACTTTAGCCATGTCTTTTAAACAAATTCTGCCCTTACTTGCATTTACTGTCAACATACAATGTGAAAATCTTAACAGATCAACTGTACACTGTCTAAGCCATACTTTTCTGGATAATCATATATAAAAACTACAATTTCTCCCAAAAATATAAGCTACCAATATGCCACTGTAAAACGAAAGGGAAAAACAAACAGCATTAACGATTCACGTATGTGCTGCAGTAGTTACTTACCTACATACGAACTACAATACCATCTCCCTGAAACTGTAAGAGCTATATCCCAGAAAATAAAAATCTGGAAGAATGTTTGAGACTTGCCCAAAGTCTCAAATGAAGACACTGGTGCATTGGTGCAAAGTTTGTTTTGGGCTCTGTTGACACAATCGCAGATTGGGGAATGCTACATGGGGGGAGAAATGTTTTAATAAAAAATATTATATTTTCACAGTGGTTTATTTGTGTTATTTTGATATTACACACTATATGAAAAAGTTCATTTGCCACAACCATTTACTATTTTACTGAAAAATAAGAAATCTTATGTTACAAATGTACACGAGATTGTTTACAAATATTTTTTTGTATGATTCAACATTAACTCTGGTTAATGTTACTATTTTAAATGATTTCAGTAGAGAGGAAGCAGCTGTGTATTTAGTCACATATATAAACTATTTAGTTTCTCGTGACAATTCTTGAATGCTCGTAAAAAAGTGACTAATGAATTATGTCTCGTTCAGTCTCGTCCAAACTTTGTACAGTATTTATTTTTCGCTAGTCAGAAACGTTCAAAACTTAAGCTTATTATTTTTAAAGATGATAGCTAGTCCAAGAACAATAAAAGTCAAATAAGGTCTTTAAGTCACCACATGACCATCTTCCCAATTTAATAAATGGGAGACAGAGGTTACTTATAATAACCATTTGTTCGCTGAAGCCACATACAGCAGCAAATTATTTAATTTGAACACTATGCAAGACTAATAGCTTTTGCTCTAAAATAGATATTTATTAAAAATAAATAATAATGTACGGCACATAAGAGCACCTACATGTGAGTAACTCATTGTGTCACAGTCAACAGAGCCGTCCACTACAATCCTTCACCATGCATGCAAGAACCAACTGTCTTGTCCCGCACAGGTTAACCAGTCCGATGAACGAAGGTAACAACACCCATGTCGTTAACTATTAAATTATCTTTACTTAAAAAAAAAATATTTACATTCAAGAACCGAGTCTACTAAATATGTACACACAAGGCAGCATCACATGTACACACAAGGCAGTATCACAAGTTACTCGTGAATGTAAAAAAAAAATGAACAAAACACAGGGTAATTACCACCTTCCTTCACACTTGAGAAAAAAGTACGTTACCTGATCTACAACAGCATTCCACTCACCACTAGATGTAAGGAAGACCATTAAAGTAACAAAGCTAGAAATATAGAAGCTTCATATGCACATTATTAAGTAGTCTTGAGAACACATTTCAATGTACTTACTACTTTACAATCAATACATTCTAAATCTTAATAATGCACACACAAATGAATCACCAGCAAATTAAAGTCAATACAAAGTAATTAGCATTCAAAGAATAGTGAAAGAAAAACAAAGGAATAAAGGTCAGCAAGTCAACACATACAACAGTAAACACAAACATTTTGGCCATATTCATTACTGCAAAGTAAATATTTAACAACAGCAGAGGATGCAATTGTGTACAGTACTGTATTTAGAACACGGTATTGAAATCCACTAATGTAAATTTATATTTAAATATCAAAGATAATATCCTATCCATGAACATGACCAAAATGTAGATATGTCGGTCTAGTCAAAAGGCAAAGTTTAACTGACTGAACAACCAGAAGAAAATTATTTTGTCATAAGTCTAAGCAGGGGCAGACAAGTGCTATCTGAGCAATTACGGTCTTTCCTAACTCGGGCACTAAAATTTTATGTCCAAGGTTAAAATCACGAGGCATTAGTCATTGCTTTGTCATTCCGTGAAATTAAATATTAGTCATACTGGTATATGCAAAGATAACAAAACTAGTTTCTGTACATTTATGAAAAACTATGACAAGTGTTAGTGAATATTAAAGTTACTTGGATTACAATTACTACAAAATGATGTACATGATGAAAATGAAAAACTGACAATTATTGAATAATGGACGTAACAATCAACACATATGCCACCAAACACAATCTATACATAATTTGATTGGTTTACTCTACCAATAACTAAATCTTTGATTACAATGGCAAAACTCCTTGTGCAGTCACAAACTAAAATACCTACACAATTTGAAGTCATTACAAGTTTTAATACAAGGATGATGATAAACCAAGTTATGAAACTTGCATAAAAGGGGTCTATACAGCTGGACAAAATGTAATTTAATTTTCCTGTTAAAAATCATTCTATAACTAACTCAAGTATAAGTGAAGGAATTAAGAGTAGAACCAACAATTGCTTGTTAAGACACCATTGTGCCAAATTTCAATCACAAGAAAGCTTTACATACAATAAGGATACTAACACAGTATATATAATATAAAACAATTATGCTTACAAACAGCTCTCTTTACTGATCTAATATATTTGGTAGTAAATCATTAAAAACAACTTTACATCCACAAAGAAGGCAGCTAAAATGCATAGCCTACGTACTGAAGCATGTGTCAATTGGGAGAGTGCACAGTGCAAGAGTTCAACAGAAACACACCCCCACACTGAGAAACCTTCACTAAGTATCTCCATCACTTACGTCATCCTACTGGTTCATATATCCCCTTCACCAGCACTACAATATATTGTTTGAATTGATTTTATATTTTAAACTATAAAAGGTCAATTGAATGTTTGGTAATTACATCGATAAAAGTATTTTACCGTTTCCTACAACTTACATACCTAACCTCTGCTAATATTTACATAATAAATTTTAAATATTAGTTCCAAGAAAGGATATTTTGAACCAGTAGTTATAACGCCAAAGACTGCTGCACTAATGAACTAAAAATATCTGAATTCACCTTTCTTCCCTTGCCGTTCCTTCCAGACTGGTGGAGGTGCATTCCGCCGCACATCAGCACGGTAATCTTCCTTACCATCCTGGAATGCAGATTAATGTGTAATTACAATTTAATGACAAGTTATGCTGTCAATTAATACATCACATAGTATAGAATATTGTAGAGATTTTGGTAATCAACCAATTTACAAAATCAAGTGCAGACTGTACATTTTTGCAAGTTAATAGTTTTACTGTATAATTTGTTTATATACGTATCAAAGACTAAGTATTTTTGAACTGCAACAGGTTCATAGCTTACCTGGTCAGCTGAATATGGAGTAACAATAGTATGTGGAACATGAGCCACTTGACCTCGAGCATTCACTGCCTTCCACCACTTTCGGCTGTCATCCATTACCTGCAAAAACATTTTCAGTTGCACTATCTCTAAAAATATATTGCTTTTTAGCAATATCTGATTAACAAGCCGTATTTATCCTCCAAGATGTCATTGAACTTACCTCTAGATATTCACCACGAACGACCGTCAATTCTTTGTCGTTATTGGCAGTGCGTGGATATGTCACCTGCACAATTTTTGCCCCGCGAGCCTTAAGTTCATTAAGCCACTGTCGCTGATGTTTTTCAAATGTTGGTTGATCCATAGAATCCTGCGATATGTCACTACGGCCAGCTTGTGGGTACTCTGATGGCGGAGTCATGGATCGTGGTCTGAAAAAGGCTTCATTAAATGTTACCCTTCTAAATTTTTCTTAAATATTTGCCATTTCAGTAAGAAATGGAAAGAAAAAATCAGTAAGAAAAGAAAAAATTAAAATATCTGATTTTTTGCAGCTTCTGGTTACTGTTCTCTCCTTTCCTGAAGGAATAGTTTCAATATGAATATCTTCCATTATTTTCATCAGGGCTAAAGACTAATTCGAGAGAGAATTAAATTGTTGCAAAATTTCATATACTAGACTAGTGTAGCTACCTCCAACACGTCCTTTGTGTACAACTGTAAAATACTGTACATGCAATTAGAATTTCTGTGAAGAGCTTTACTGGAATAATTGACAAAGAATTTAAAACGGTAAACTCTTAAGACAATTTTGCCCAGTCTTGACACAGGAGAAAAACATAGGCATTTAATACTAGACAGGTAGGGAGTAAACAATAGTAATGCGTATTTGTAAAGGTAGGAGGCAGAATAACCAAGATTGTGATTAACGATACGAGTGTGAAGCACTTTTGGACAAATAATGTATGACAGTGGGTTGATAACCTCCTTTCCTCATATCTGTATACTAAGAATAAGAAGGAAAAGCTAGTTCATTGGGGGAGGTGTCAGTATTGAGGAGCACATCTTTAGTGTGCAAGGAAAGGTATCCTAGGTGGAGACAAAACTCATCAACCCATCTCCACAGCAGTGAGAAATGTAAAAAATATAGGTACACTGTAAATGTAATGTAAACAATGAACAATAGTGTACAAGTTAAACATCAACAACATTAGACATTCACAAACATTATGCAAAAGCTTCAATATTTCTACGTCTAGTCATGCCCCACTTCTTGCAGGTCGATGTTCAATCTCCAATAGTCCAAGTAGTTGGTCACCATTCCTTCCCTCCATCCTATTCCAAATCCTTATCCTCATATCTCTTCCAAGTACTATATAGTTGCACTGGTTTAGTGCTCTCCTGATAATTACCTTACCTTGCATTGCATAAATAAACATGCATAGGCATTACCCAATTTTATACTTTCATGGTGCGAGGCAGTATCACCCAAGAGTCCATCATTAATGTTGTACAGTATTATGGAAGATTTACTTTTTACATTCATGCAAAGCCAATAACATGCATAGCATTTTGGGCAAATCCTTAATCTAACATATCAGGTAAGTTGAAAGGGTACATTGTAGCAAGGTTTTTATATGAATAACTACAATATTCTGCCCGAAACGCTGCGCGTGCTAGTGGCTTTACAAGACTGTAATTACCATATTTGTATCCTCACATTCCTTATGTACATTCTTGTATATGCATAAATAAATAAATATAAGTTGACAGAGGTGTTTACACTGATAATGATATGCATCTTGAGTACTAATATTGGGGAAGTGGGTAGTACAAGATACAGTGAGAGTTTGAAGCACAAGGTAGGAAATTATGAGGATGAAATTAGGTACTTTTTGGTTTTAATTTTGAACAGGAGATAGGCTGGACAATTTTTTAATTCATCAGGGAGAGAGTTTCAGAGATTGGGCCCCTTTATTTGCATGGAGTGTTTGCACAGATTTAGTCTGACTGGGGATATCAGAGATTTATTTTTGGTGTGGTGCTGCTCATGGGTTCTATTACACCTATCAAGGAAAAGTTTCAGATCAACATTAGCATTTAGGAACAAGGTTCTGTACATGTAGACAGCACATGAGTGTGTGGAGTATGTTTATCACCTATAGACATTAAAATATATACTAAAATAACACTTCCATTCATTATACAATTCATATTACAGGCAGACCTCAATTTGCACATTTATGGAGAAAACAGGTTAAATGGTACAGGTTTAAAACTTTATACAAATTAGAAAATTAGGGAAATTCGAGGTAACATAATACCCAGAATACAAATTTGTAGAGGGCAATACTGAACAGACGAAGATTACTTTTTAAAGCTGGAAGGAAGCACAACATCAGGTCATAACCTTCCAGCTGTACTGTATAACTAGAACAATTACGAATAAAAAAAGTTTGACAAAATTATAAACAAAAAATATAACCATCCAAATTTTATCAACTTGCCTCTCATCTCTGGGATAGTATCGACCTGGAGTTGGCGATGGCTCCCTCCGATCAGAATCATAGAAATCACTGCCATAATCGTCACCGCGAAGACGACCTTGCCGCATTTCTGCCTGCAAGACAAATTTTACTTAATTTTATATATCTGGTATTAAATGAATGTTATACATTTTAAATGTCGGGGGAGGGGGGGGAAAAAATACTACAGGTAAATGGAATGAGGTTGTGGGAGGATGTTGGGGAAAATTAGGGAGGCCAATGGTGTGTATGTAAATGGTCAGCTTCAATTTGTCAGGTGGTGGTGTTTAGAACCTAACCCATTCTCTTGAGCAATCACATCACTAAAATGATGTACTAAATTGCTTGAATCTAACCGAGGACCAATGAATAGAAAATGGGACATCAATTTTGCGAGCCACTATGATTATTTTTTTTTTTTTTTTTTTTTTTTTTTTTTTTTTATTTGCTTTAAGAGACTTGGACATCAAAATGCACTGCACTATTTGAGAGGACGAGTTTTAGGGCCAATGATGGGTGGGTGGGAAGAGGTGGCAGGGCATTTCATGGTGGGGTGTTGCAAGAGTTAGTTTAGCTCATTTATTATGCACCCCATACCCATCTCGTGGGCGGTAGTGATGCAAGAGGTGGTTGGGTTGGTAATAAGCAATCCAGCACTATTTTATTATGAAACTGCTACAGGGTAATAATAAAATAAGATAATAATTGTGTACTTTTTAAGTAACAAATGTTTCAAGCTAACACAGTGAGGTCCTTAAAGTAATCATAAATGCGGTGCAAAACTACAAAAGCTTTCCCTTCCCCCTCATAATGAGGAAACAGGGTCTAAGTTTATATCCATCTTTCTTACAGTGGGAATTTAAGTGTTCAAAAACACAATATGATCAATACTAGCTGTATCAATTTAACTTTTTAATCCAAACTGGGAAATTTGCAAGATAATGAAGTATCTACATGACTGCATAATAAGAACTTTCTGAATATCTTCATAAAATAAAATTCTGAAGTAGCTTACTTTAGCACAATCCTTCTCCTTGCAAGTTTGGAATACAAAATAAATAACTTATTAAATATCAACCTGTATTACTACACATGCTAAATCTTTCACACACTATTCAGCCATCCGAATTAAACTATATACTCTCTACGTTCGGTAATTTGAACTGTGTGCCCCTTCCCCCATGAATTCTTCATTCTAGTCAGCCAAATGATTTAGTACTTTCCTACTGGGAATGTCCACAAATGAACAAATTCAAATTTATCACAATAACCCAAACTGCTATTCGAGATGAAAAGTCAAGCACTAATGTGAAGTCACTTGACTTATTCGGAGATTCAGGTTACCGGAATATGATTACCAAGCTTTTACATCAGCATTATCATCCTTATATTGTCATTACACACTTCCAGTGAGGAGAATATGAAGTCCATCTCCACAAATGTAAAAATGTTAAAAGTTACCGTGTGTTATCGATGAACTTTACTAAAAGTTGCTTGCAAACAAAGATACACAAATCATTATTTAACCCTTCCACTGTGAGGCCTGCTCAAGAGTACTATCGGGGTTTGCAGTATTCACATGAACAGGTCCTCGAGTGTCAAGACATGGGCGATGCTGTAGATAATCTTCAAACACTTCAGTTACGAGTTTAATCATCAGGTCTCAATTTTGTGTGTTGAGCTCTAGAGTCAAGTGCACTTTTCAGGACCTACCACAGCAAAACTATGGTGCCTGGAATCTGGTTTGCTTTATTTTCTTAAACCGGCAAAAATTCTCTAATTTTATAAAATCAAATTATGTCAATTTGTGTCAAAGCTGCATACAAGTAGTTCCCAAGTAAGTGCTGCAGCAGAAGGATTAAACAAATTTGTAAACAAAAGTTCACATAATTAATGTGAAATTTCTTGGTTTTAACTATAAAATTCCTCTAGAGCCACACACCGACTGGTTTTAACATACAGAACTATATATTTAACTTAAATTTCAATTAACTCAACTACAGTATAGATACAAAAAAAAATTCAAGCACATTTTAGTGCATTTCTTATCTTGCAAGATGCACATATGCACCACTGAATGCTCAAGTATCTAGGTGGTGATGTTTTCTCATGCTAGGCATTGTTCAACACTGAAGACATGTTTATTGCATATTTTATCGCTTATTTTGTGGCTAAGGTCCATAATATAATTAGATGGCTAAACTCACCTCATTAGATGTGTGTCAAATTGTGACTGTGTTGGATAGACCAGATCTTGTTTAAAAATATCTAGGTATTTTCCAGTTGGAGGCCAACAGCTGAAGCATATTTAGGCAAATTGCCCCAGTCAAATTTACTTGCTTAAATATGGTCTAGTAACTGTATTACACATCAAGCCACACCACATATTTAAACTATTATTTGAGCAAAAAATGATAGACCTGCTTAAACTAAAAACACAAATTCTAATTTGTCTTAGCTTACATAACCAAAATGTTCCTATCAAAAAAATATTAAACACATTCTTTAATATCCATTTGATAATTCAAGTATAGCCTGTATGAATGTAGATACACATGCAGATAGAGAGATTTTATATTATTTTATATATACACACACATACACATATACATATATACATACATACATACCATATTTAATTTATTTATTTATTTATTTATTTTGATATATCAAAGTATTATTTTAACTTACTTCACGTTGAGCATTCCTTATCTCCTCTGCTCTAGTCCGCTTAGCTTCGGAGGCAACCTCAGACGCCAAAACACTGGAGCGGTCACGTGAATCTTCCAGTAACTCTGGTGCCCACCCATTTGAGAACACTGCAATGTTTAAGAATTACATAATTAATAAAAGAATTCCCTTGAAAACATGTACAAAACACATTTTACCTGTGTTTTTGAAACAAAGCAAAATATGGTATACACAAATTTCCAAAAGCACCTATTTACCTTTTTATTAAAAAAGGCAAGTGTTTGACAAGTATCTCACAAATACCTTTAAAGATATTTATTTGAATGATGATACAAATTGATACCACATTTAAAAATAGGCATTACCCTGGGTATACACACACACATGGGTAATTACAGCAGCAATCAGTAATATGAGAAGAGCCAAAGAGGTACAAACATTGTATTGGGCAACCAAGTCAAAATAATATTTAAAAATTCAATTGTAACACATTCTCCACATTTAAAATTCCAAAGCTCTACTTTATTTGCAGTAAACCTTAGTTCCATGATTTAATTACTTCTCACTCCATTTAAACTGTTCCCCCTTGCATTATTTTCTCTAAACCTTAGCAAGAAAAATACTTACAGAATTATCAACAAGATTTTGATGCAATTGTGGATTAATATTGCAAAACCTACACATTTGCAGTTTGTAAAAAAAAAAAAACTTACAGCATGCTCAACAGTTTCTTGGCTCTAAAAGTATATTCCGTCTTTTCACAATCATCGCATAGCAAAATTACACCACTGTTTTAATACTTAAGACTTTTCTGTAGTTCTAAGTTTGAAAATTTATGCAGTATCTACAATTTTATAGCTCTTGCCTCTTGTGTATCTTAATTTTTAAATTTGCTACTATCACCATTTCATGTATAGCTATAAGAATTTGAACATGTAATTAGAATCATACCTGGCTGGTAAGGAGGAACATTGTATTTCCACATGTTCCGTGGAATGCACCAGGTATCACCAAGGCTGTGCCATAGCTCCGTTTCCCGTGAAGTCAAACAATTTGTCAGCAGGTCCATGGCATCTGCAGTTAGCAGTGGTGATAACACCTAAAACAAAAGAAGATTTGTGACTGATGTTATCACTTTTACACAGTGCACCAATTGGTTTTCTCAAAAAATAAGTAATTTTAATTGGTAGAAACTTGACAAAGGGAAAGCTAACAAACATTTCCATTAGTATAAAAAAAGGGGGGGGTAGAGAAGAGAGAGGAAAGAAGGAAGAGAAAAAAAAAAAGCCCTACATGCAGCAGATTCTGGTCCGAATTCATTTGGCAGTATTGCCGATGTCTGTTTAAATGTTTGTCCCACGTGTTATAATCATTTGTGCAGGGTGCATGATCTACAGATTCCTTGAGCTAAGACCAAAATATTCCACTAACTACTGGACTACATAAATTAATTTAAAAAAAATATTCTTGTAGCATAAAGCAACCCTAAGACTTTTACAGTCTATTTACGAGCAGAATCATCAATAAATTTCCCACATATGTTATGTCTCGTACAACAGAACCCCACTTTTACTATGTACAGTCCCCTTAACCCCATTGTATACAACTAAAACTAAGGCATGTTAAAAAATAATTATAAATGCAACCATAAGTGTTCCAAGGAATGTTATGCATTTTAATTGCAAATTACTACACAAAATTAATTTTGCCAATTTTATTTTCCTGCACTGATGTGTCATTTTCTTTGTGTTATTGTTTAGAATTCTAACTGGGCAAAAATATGAACTTTTCCTAAGTGTCGTCAATTTTTATAGGACAATATGGTAGTCATGATCAACAAGAAAACATTTACATACAAAAGAAAAGTTTTTCTAAGCTTTTAAATAGTGTACTCCAAAATGATTAAAGATATATTTATTGAATACATGTTACAGTAAAATATAACCATGTACATATCATAATTAAAAAAAAAATGGCAGACACTGTATAGGCATCATGTGAGAGTACGGGTGTGTTAGGAAGCACAAATGTCACTACTTGCAGTGACATTTGAATTTGCTGCCAACTGCTGGCAGTATTTACCAGGTTCAGGGGCCTATTTTGTAGGTCAGTTGACATGATCGGACATTACATGACTCGAGGGAAAAGTTTTTCTTGGCACTTGGACTAAGGTCACTCATTGTCTTGGTCTACTTCTCTTGTGTATTACTGTACATACTGCCAAATATTCACAAGGTTTTACATGCTTATCTAACATTACTGTGATATTATTCATTCCAACCCAGACCAGTTAATTCATACTTTTCAATTGCTATCTTCTATTTATTACTGGGATTTTACCATTATTCCATTATTATTGTTGACCTTGTCAATTTGGTAATACAGTAACTACAGCATTTAGTTTTGACTACACATTACAGTATTTTATTAGCTAACAGTTCTTCATTTAACCTTAAATTCCCTAGTACACCATCTCGCCACTTCCAATAAAGATGGCATCTATTTGCCAATACAGTATGTGCATTTGTACAAATTTATTCAAATTACTCCTTTCCTTTGATTTTGCAGAGTTGACAAAATTATTATTGTTTTTTTCCTCAAGTTCCAGCACAGGAACTAGCAAGTTATTAAACACAAAAACAGTAAGATCTCATACTGAGCACTTGTAAACAACTGAAGTTTAAAAATGCAGACTGGATATTTCCAAACCCACCAAGTTTCAATACATAATACATTATCAAATTCTTTCCTATGATAAACAGTGCTTCAAAAGTAAATATAGTACAGTCATTGACTACTTACATATTTGAATGTCACCTTTTATAACATAACTCCCCCGATTGGCAAAACTTTAGGTCAAATATAAAACTAATATTTTTCAAAATATGGTTCGAAAAATTTGAAGGTGGTTAGGTGTACCTCACTACACAAGAGAACACGTTAACTGCTTTAGCCACCTAGTGACAAATAGTAAGAGAAGATCACACACGTGTCTCAATAATAGCCAGCCAAATGAAGATATGCATTTTGCTGACCAGTTTACAGAAAACAAGATCTAAATAAGCCATCCTTATTATTGACAGTCAAGAAATGCTATGAGCAAGAAAACACTAGTGATCAGTGTATTATACTGCTGGTGGCTTAGGCATAATAAAACTGCCGTGATATTGGATACACTGTAGCAATAGGATAAGCAGTCTGCCAAAGCATGGGTTAGAAGGGCAAGGGAAAGGGAGGGAGGGAATGATCAGGGAATAAGCGCCAAGCCATTACGACTATATAAGGATATATACAAGGGAAGATCAAGGGAAGGGATATACTTGTACTGTAAAATTAAAAAAAAAAAATTAATTCATATGGATAATCAACACAGTAATAGTTTTTCTCCAGTTTTCCTTAAGGCTTGGCTCCTTATTGTCACCTGTAGACTTACAATTTAAAATGTTGAATAATATGACTGATACTCCTGCATGCAAGTTTCTTCCAAATTTCTTGCACTTTCTTCAGGAATCTGTACATCGCTGGATTCACAGTTGAGAGTCGGGACCAAATTATCAAAGCTCAACTCCCTCAAGAACAACTAGGCAAGTACAGTTTTCCATTGACAATACTGTACTAACAATCACAACTTTCTTCCCAAGGCAAGTATTGTCCGTCACTCCCACACTGCAAGTGTTTGAGTAATGCATAATGTGTACTTGTTTACTCCTGGCAAATTTAATAATTCTATCAATAGTGAGCAAGCAATACAAATACCCATACACATTTTTGCAACTCAAAATGCTTGAAAACTGAACTACATAACACTAGAACTGCTACTCTTTGAAAACTACAACTTTTCAAATTTCATCCTACTAGAGAATTACATCAATAAAATTTCACCAGTCATCTTGACAATTGATGTACTTGTAATTCAACCAGTATATCATACACCATTTCATATTTCAAATGTTATATCATCCTTCACCCTCAAATTCTTATCCATTCCCATTGTAATGTCACTTCATATGAAATACCTCCATTATATTATCAGCTAATGAGTAATACTGTTACACTACAGTAATCACACTCCATTACTGTACTACAGTATTCAGTCATAACGGCTTGTACTACTTTTTTGTTTTATCTAAATTTCAAGGGTATTCAACAACCTTTCTTCATAATGGCAAAATTCAGTACATACAGGGTAAAGTACTTTTATTTTAATTCTTTTGTAGATAACTACATTATTTTAAATTACATGACTAAAATTAATTATATCTATTTCAAACCCATAACTACTTTATTACTAGAAACTTTAAATAATATCTACACTGTAGTTAGCATTTGCAACAATAGCAGTATTAATTAGACAATAAAAATGTTATTTCTCACCTTACTTGGTAGGTTTGAACCATAATTAGAATCCCGAGAGGCATCCACAATGATTGCCAAAGGTGTGAAGAGAAAGTGTACTAATTCTGGAGCATTTGGGTCGTGGATATGAGCCTTCAGCTTTGCCTAGGAAGAGGAGCAAATTAAGGCTAAATTAGATGAAAATATTTGAAATAAGATAAACAATAATTGAAATTGAATAACGTAGAATGTTTCCATTAATTAATTTTCTTAAATTTTTTACTGAGAACATCATGTACAAGAACAATAGCAGACATGTTTTATCACCATTGCACTTTAGGCTATTACCTGAATTTACCAGAGGGCCACTAACATACTAGTGGCCTCAACAAGAACAGGAAACCAGCACCTTGTTAAAGCCTCCCCCCCCTTATTTACTGATAAGTGAACAGAGGTACAGTATTTGGCGATAGAAAATGTGTTCAACTATTTCTGTCCTGCCTGGGACTTTAACCTGGGATTTCTGACAGTTGAGAATGAACCCAACTATACTACGAAGACCTTTACACAAAAATGAAGTACATACAGTACAGTACTGTAATACTGAACCATATTAACCCTTGCACTGCTCACCTATTTTCGGCAAAAACGTCTTGGTGCAATTGACAAGGACATATTTTTGTTATTTTTACAAATGTTCAGGTAAATTTAATGTCAAAATGTTTCCAAAGTCAAATATTTCCATTTCAAAACACAAATAGTAATGAAAACATTAAAAAACATTAAAATATAGCCAAATTAAAAAACAAAAAGCACAACTCTCTGAGCGCCTAAAGGCGCTTTGCGCAGTGCAGTGGTTAAATATACTGTAGTTTTATAAATTTGAACTGCAAGAACACCTACCAAGAGGTTAAAGGAAAGCTTGAACTTCTGGAAGATATCTACAAATTCCCGTTCTGGAGGTGGCTTGGCACGCATTGACAACAACCCATCACCAATGTCTTTCTTCTTTGATTTGCGAGACCTACAAAAACATAGGATATTACAGTAAAATCAAAATGGCAATCCATATCCTGTATACAACACGTAATAATAATGCATACAAATGTTAAATAAATATTATCGATTATTCCTAATTAATGAATAACACACATGCAACAGTAATACAAGTGTATATTTATATTATATATACAGTATATATATATATATTATATATATACTCTTGTATTAAACTAATAATTACTCTATTTTCTAAGAATTACTCAATATACACGACTAATAATTACTTGCATTCACTCCGAGTAGGCCCAAACTACAGTGGTACCTCGGAATACGAGTGTCCCTGTATACGAGTTTTTCGGAATACGAGCAGGATTTCCTCGGAAAATGTGTCTCGGAAGGCGAGGGTTACCTCTGAACGCGAGTTTGTAGATACGTGTACAGGCTGACTAGCACGTGGTGGCACGGCGATCGCGCCTCAGTTTACCAATGTCTCGTGCCCAGTGACTATCCCACCTGAATTCTTCACAAGGATTTACAGTTTGTCGTTTTTTTGGCCTTTTGAGCATAAAAGTTGTCATTATATATCTCGCCATAGGTCTCAAGAAAGCCATTGGTAAGGTTCAACCTAAGAAAATAGCTGTGAGTAGAGGCAGTAGAGGATGTCCCTTCTTGATTAAGAAAATGTGTGAAGTATGGGAGGAACTGCAAAGTTTTGTTGAAAAAACTCACCCAGATAAAGCTGTAGCAGGCCGTTGCATTGACCTTTTAAATGATAATGTGATGTCTTACTACAGACAAGTGTTAAAATGTAGGGAAAAAGTGTCTTTAGATAAATTCTTAGTAAGACAAGCAAGTCCTACTGGTATGCAGGCAAAATGTGCCAGAGTGTGCATATCAGAGAAGTCTTCACTACCTGATGTGATAATGAAAGGGGACTCCCCTTCCAAACAGTAACTCCCTCCTCCTCCCCCCCCCCCCCCCCTCCTCACCATCTTCCATACGCCTACAGCATTCAACAGCAAGGTAAGTAATAACTTGAACACAGTTTTGTAGGTTTATTTAGATGAATTAGGTATAAAAATTTAGTTTGAAGTGGGGTTTGTGGGGTAGTCAGGAACGGATTAATTCATTTTCCATTATTTCTTATGGGGAAATTAGCTTCGGAATACGAGTTTTCGGAATACGAGCCGTCTCCAGGAACGGATTAAACTCTTAAACCGAGGTACCCCTGTACAAGACACTGATATTACGAAACTAATACATCCATCAAACTGCAAACTCCTTGCATTCAAACAATTAGGTCAAATATTTATAGTATACAGCTCCATAAAGCAATACAGTATTAATAAATCAAAGCAAAGCAATCTTTCTGGGCTAGATATCAAGAGCTTTGTTAAATGACTGCTAGCTGAATGCTTGTCATACAGTATGAATGACTTGACGTTCTTAACAAAATAAAGATCGTAACAATTTTTATTAAAGATTTTTACAGGATTTATTTTCCCAAGAACATTACTCACTAATTTGCCAAGTTACTGTTATGCAATCTAGTAAAAAAAACACATATATACTGTATATAGAAAAAATTTCAGCATACAGTACCTGCGGCGACGTTCAAGTTCCTTCGTTGCAGCTGCCGTGTGCTGGAGGCGGCCAATGAATCGTTCGATGTCATCAAAACAGGAATTAAGGATGGCCACATCTCTCTCGTACTTCTCACTACTGGTAGACGAGATATCGTCATTGTGGCTGACGCTAGACCTCTCTGACCGTGGACCCCGTGCCTCACCACGTACCTCGCTGTCAGCTGAAACGCAAAGTTCAATCCATTACACAAAATCATAGGAAAATAACATAAGAAATAATGTTAACTCCAGAAGGCCAGTTGGATCATACAAGGCAGCTACTATTTATACACAGTATATCCAAAGTGATTCTTATACATGCCTAACATATACCTGAAACAATCAACAAACATAAAATAATATGTATGTTCCCAGTAATTTGCTACACAAATCAGACTACCTATTTCCACGTTGGTAATTATCCAGGTCTTTACCGAATCTAAATTTATCGAATTAATATCCATAGCTTCATATCCAGTACATCATCCTTTCACATTGGTATCTAAAATTATCAAATTACTCTTACAATACACAATGGCATTATCGCTTTTATTTTTTTTTTAACAAATTACCAAATATACCATACAATGAAATTGAGATATTCCAAGATGAAAATTAATAATGTGAAAATAAGGACAGAAATTGGTTGTATATTACCTAAAAATGTTTAAATCTATCCTCCAAAAATTATAGTACCTATAGCAACTGGAAATTACAACTGAAAATATGGACTGTGCACTTTAAGATAGCACAAGTTTTGTACTATATATTTTGTAGAGGGCCCACAAAAAGGAAACACTCTACCTATTCTATTCCATGCCTAGTTTTGTATACATACAGTAAATTAAATTAAGTTTAACATTGCATATACGAGATCTTTGTCAGGTTACATTCGACTGATGGTTAGGTTTCATCAGTTTCCATTATGCATTTTAGTACAAAGTATTAATACAAAACTGACTTCTGAGGGAAGGGGAAGGAAATGGTACATATTTTGTACATTCCATCCAGTCACACTATAGGTGCAGCAATACTAAAGTTGGCAAAGTGTGTAAAAGTTTGTTAGTGTGCAATCCCACTAATGTAATAAAAACCAGTGCTGTAATTTTAAAGCACAGTATAAAAACAAAGTAGCAAAAATGGGTAAATCTGCTCCAAACTTTTGGCAATACAAACTTCTTTTGGTGAAAGTTTTTTTTTTTTTTTTTCCACACAAATGGCCTATATTATGTTGTGTAAATGTATAATATCTAAGCAACTTTTTGAAATGGCAATATACAAGATTGCCACAAATGGTGAAGATATTTGCTGTGCAAGTTACACCCAAAAGAACACCAACCTATCTTCAAACCTAAACCTTACCAACTAAAGACAGCAGCAGGTGATGGCAATCAAGCTCACCTCAATGAAACATACATGCACTTAATAAAGCTAAAATTAAGCCTATATGCAACACATCATTCGCGGAACAAATTCTCAGTACTGTACTCTATATACATGTGTATATTTACGAGCCCGTTAAGAGTTATAGATAAAGACCAGGTAAAGTTATTAGACCGAGAGACCAATCGAATAGTGATCTAAAGGTTTGTAATTCTCTTTAATTATATTATGGTTCCATTAATAGTCTACTTACCTGGTAAATGGGGAAATGAACCTGTCTTAAACAGAGAATATTCTCAATATATACCGTAACTGTATTATAGTATAAATCCAGGGTTTAAATTATTAAAAGTATATGGTAAACTCATTTTCACAGTGAAGTGTATGTTTTCTTTAATCTCAAATTTGTGGGGAATACTCACAGGTTTTGAATTTCATATTTCACATAATTAGTTAAAACCAAACAAAACTTAACAATCTTAACCTAACCATGCATAGGGAGTGCATAATAGCACTAAATACGTAGTGGTTTTGAAGTAATTACGTAAAGGGTACCTTAACCCTCAAGACGGGTTGATATTTAGACCCGCAAGAATGCAGCACTGTGCATTCAACCGGGAACCCCATATTATCGATATACACATTAAACTGCGTCACTAATATATTAAGAGTGTAACTTGCTTTGCTAAATAAATTTTTGGGTTCAGTCCTATCCAATGTGCGCACCTCTGCAACCTTTACCTCTAACTCTCCTAGGATGAGTATGAGGTATATAACAGTAAATGAAGTTCGTTTAGTGGAAAGGGTTTCAGAGGCACATACTGGGTTCAGGAACTGAACCCCAGAATTCACTTAGCTAAGTTATAATAAATGAACAAATGCAAGCATTGCGTTAAGTTGAACTAGTCCTGGTAAGATCAATGGCTAACAAATGGCAATGGTTAACTAGTCTTACCGTATCAAAAATAATTGTTCAAAACTGTATTCCATAGACCACACAATCAGACGAGATTACTATTGTAAGGCCAATATTACTAATTCCGATAGGCGGCCTCAGAGATAGTCTTCCCGTGACCAGGTCGTCTTGATAAGGTATACAAGACCGTACTCGGTCATCCATTTCAATAAATCAAATATGTCGGGGAGAGGGGAGGGGGGGAAATGACACTTCTAAGTTACACCGGACAGGTTTAATACCAGTTCTTATACAGTTCAAAACCCCACATTTTAACCTTTTTAAACTGTGTGCAAGCGAAAGCCAAACGCATCCACTAAGCATGTAAAATACCGCATTTCACTCGTATATTCGTGGTGCAACGCGTTCTCAAAGAAATTTAAGAAATGGAGATATTAGCCAGGCGGTCACAACTAAATACCACCATTATTATTAACTCTTGATCTTATCTTGTGATCAATTTGTTCAGTTATTAATTTACACACATTTTCCGACTCAACCTTTAACTGTTGTGCAAGAGCCTGGGAATTTATGATATCCAACTTTATAAAAACTAGATTAAAAAAAAAAAAAAAAAAAAATCACCCTTAAACCTAAATACTTTCATCAGATTAAACTCTCACAAAACACACGACAGCCATGAGTATATATAGTTCCCCTCAACGCAAATACAAATACATAAATTATTATTAATAATAACAAAATTATATATATATATATATATATTTAAGAATAATGTTTGAACCAATCAACCAATATTAACCAATGAGCTGTGCTCATCTGCGCACTGTAACTTTGTGCTACAACCATCTTCCCCAGAAACTTTTACAAATGTTCCATACTTCCTTCCCTCTTTGGAGGTCTCGGTAGTGTTCCGTCTCATTGATTTTGTTGTCATTGGCCAACTATTTTCTTATAGTTAATTCAGTCCTCCTCGACTCTCTACCTTGGCTTCTCTGATTATACTTGCCTTTATTAAATGCAACAGCCTTGCCTTGATTTTCACATCACATTACTCAAATCTTATACGTCATCTATGAAAGGTGGCACTTACCATGATAAGTGCTAAGTGTCTTCCTGTGATAAGTGTCCTAATTTCTGGTAAAATAAATATATAAGCACCCACCAATTCAACCATCTTTCCATTGCCTCTAAATACATTTCCCAAGTAAATTTCTGGCAATGAAGGTGTAGCTCTACTCAAAACCCCAAGTGCACTGTGGGCTACGTACGTAACTAATACTAATTCTAAACCCATGGGGGACCACTTATAAGGGTACGTTGCACCTGTGTGGAGGTCCTTACCTCTGGTCATCTCAGCCCTCATCATCCTCTGGTAGGCCTGGCGGGCTCGCTCCACCGCCCGAGCACTCTCCACAGTGGTGGTCAAGCCTGTCAACACCATCTTCACAATACACGCCCACTCACTACTACACCATACACGGTGCCTGCACTACTGGCAGGTTACCTCCTGTGCCCGACACCACAAGGGCCTCCTCTTTCAACAATTCATCAAGTCTCAAATAATTCACTTCAATCAAGTCCAGTGTTAAGGAATTTCACGAGAAGCTTAGTTTTGATTCATGTTTTGTCGGTATTCTGAAATTATTCGTCTGGTAAATAAGAAAAAAAAGTAATACAAAATGTTCAGGACTGGACTTCCAAGCACAGATGACCAGAGAAATATTCATCTCTGACATCACTGCGGGAGCGGTAAGAGGTGTAGTTATTAAAGTCTTTAACTCTTAAAAGCTCTAAACAAGTCAGTAGGTTAAAAAATTCCCCATGACTAGTAACAAATGACGCCATCTAATGCAGGAAATTGCTAAATAGAGGCAGAGAGGTAACCGCATTGTGCTAATTTAATGCTAACAGCATGGGTTGGTTGCCTTCCAAACCAATGCTAAATGCAAACGAACTACCCTACTTAGAGCTTTCATTTAACTTCTCTAAACATCCCTGAAAGACAACGAATAAACTACACTGAAAATCATAGTGCAAGGTCACTTTTTTTTTTTTATATATACAAGAGTTTTTACATTCATGTAAAATGTCGCGTGCGTGCGTGTGTTTATTTTGGTTAAAAAGACGGAGTCCAAAAGCTAATAGCTCGATTCTGCAGGCACAAATAGTAAATACACAAAAAGCCCCGCCCAAACCGGAGCTCCACCCACCGATTAACTAAAGTAACACACCGGATTCTTCAGTCGAGTATTACAACACTGATGTTACCTCATTAGCATTGAGAACTGCGGGTGATTGCCAGAAGCATTACGTCGCCATTAACGGCACTGCTGTTGTGGGGATACTCGTCCTCTCCATTGTACAGACGTTAGTGATGTCATGCACTGAACGTAGCTGTTAGACTGGACGCAACATAGTGATGGTTGCGGCGCTTGGGGGGCTCGAACCGTTCTCACGCAATGATCGTCTAAGTTGTGACCCTAACCAAACATGCATTCTACAATTTTAACACTGAGTAATAATGTTTTCCTCAAACAAATTTATATTAATGAACATGAATCTGTGTACAGTTAGGCCTAGATAGGTTAGGTGGTTTCATTCTTTGGGAATTATTAGCAATGCGTGGTCAACCCGTCCAGTACTACAAATCATCAACAGAACATAAACACCTAAGGTTCCAGTGCCTAAATATGCTAATATATAATAATATTGATTTACATTTAAGAAAAGTTCTGTTTTGAATGAACAGAATGTTAAAATTGAGGAATGCGTCTTTGGGGTCGACCGCTGGATAGAATGGACGTCTGAAGACGCATTAATTTATTAATTTATTGCATGAATGTTAGAAAATTAGGCGGCGAGGCTTCAGGGTAGGGTGGG